AAAAACAAACAAAGCTCAGCAGTATAACATGACTATACTGATAAATTAGTAGTGCTATGGAAACACTGAATTTACTGTGGGAACGTTTGCAGTGTTTGTTTTTTAAAATGTAGCCTTTTTTGCATGAGAATTTATGGTATATAAGATTTTTTAAATTATTTTTATCATTTACATTCATTCATCTGTTCTTGTATGTTGGTGATTATTTATTTTGAAAAAGTTGAAAATTTGGTAAAGGAGGGTTTCAAACCTAGAAATATCTGCTCAACATTCATTCAAAACTCTCAGGCTATTGTCAGTGCATATTAGGACACACTCCACTATTTTCTTCACATATAGTGATTTGGTTACACAACTGGCACATAAAGAGAGGACAGATAAGCATGGACGAGGCTGTCCAACAGCTGCCTGTCTGGTTGGGTAACACTCCAATGGACCCCCTGAGAAGAGCTCAGTCTGGGGTAACGTCTGCCCTCCAGTTGGGCAGGAAGACTTCAAACACAAGGCCTGCATAACCTCCACCCCTCTCCTGCCGTTTTCCTGAGCTCCGTGGGGGGATCTCTGAAGACCATCCCAGCAGTCAACAGTCCCAACTATCCTCTTGCTGCCGCTACACTCTCCTATAGTCATTCTTTCTTCCCCCACTTATACCCATCTTCAACACATTCAAAGCCAAATAAATAAACAAATGCAGTTGCCCTGAATATCAATGCCCTACACCATGTTCTTCATGCCTGGGTCAACATCACAAATCAGGTGACAGCAAAATCCACATACCTAAGACAAGGTCACATACCCGATTCTTTATGGCAGACATGTCCAAGGTTTTGTTTCTGTAGTGAGGACGGGGTAACTGGTTATCTGTGTGTGCATGTGAGTCTGGCATAAGATAACAGAAACAGTCAAGGGTGCAAACGGATGAACAAATGGTGTTTTGGCAAGGCCCTGTGCAAAGCCTTTTTTAGACATAGTATTATTTCAGTACATAAAGTCTGTTCATAGCTAGGCAAGAGAGAACTTTGCTTAACATCTAAATGCCAACATAACATTTTCAGGAACATCAGAGACCCTGGTCCAATTCACAGGAAATACATCAAACAAACAAACAAATAATCAACCCTCGTTACCTGAAAGCACATTTACAACACATTTTAATCCTGAAATGTGTCTATGTCATATCAAAACAACCAAATGTCAAGCAGCCACAACTGACAATCTGGAAGAGAGGGCTCAGGGAGTTGGGTTGGCACAGCTGAAGACATCACTGCACACAAAACAACCCCCACTAAACACGCAAAGACACACACACAAATACATACAGATGCACACAGTCACCCTGTCATCTTCGATTGTGAGCCACTCATGTTGGACCAGCAACACCTAACAAACAGTTCAATGGGCCTCGGCCTCCTGGTGTCTCACTGCCGCCAAAGAGATTGCCAGAGAGTTACTTCAGCTCTGCAGAACAAATACAGACATCAGCCTTTCTAAAAAGCAGGAGAAATGTCTAAACATATCCCAGTGATATGGCCTGTAATTTGGCCCTCTACCAGACAGATACTGTATCAACTGAATGTGTGAGTATTTAAGTTAGCAAAACCGATACAACCATGAAAGTGTTTGAGCAAACGGCAGGGCTGGAAGTTTGTGGCCATGAGGTAACTCATGGTTGGAAGACTGCTCTTCAAAAAAAGAGACTGGCTAAAATAAACTGCAGCTGATTATGGGAATTAAAAACATGACAGGTTTTACACATACACAGAGCAGGGTTACACACAGTGTTACAGTGCTTCTGTTCAGGCAAAAAAAAGCTGAAGTCCATGTACTGTAGTTTTTACTTCTAATCGATCTGGTTTTAAAATATGAACCAAACATGTTGTAGCCTAAGGATTCGAGGATTCAAGATTTTTATTTGCCATTTATGCATAAACAGACAGTCTAGGCATATAGGAATGCTTGTGCAGCTCTCCTTTGGAGTCAAACGCCAGAAAGAACACTTAGTCTTAAAATAAAAATGTTACATAAAGGCAACAAAGCATTAAAACTGCAATGCACAAAAATAGGGTAATAGTATTTCCCACAGTGAACTTCAAACATTGCACTTAGTAATTCACATGGTGGAGTTGGATATGTCATTACGCTTGGTGAGGTAGTGAGTGTTTACTGCACATGTCTAGTAAGGGGATGAAACTATGAACAAAAATCACTTAGAGTCAAAATGGAGGACATGCTGCCAAACAGGTCAGCTGGCCTAGCAGCCTGTGGGCTGATGTGTTTTGCAGACGGCACCAAGTAGATGGCATATAAGGTCACTCAGCTGTACATCTTTCACATATAACAGGCCCTCCAGGAATGTCTGTACAAGGCCAAGGATTACGGCAGCTAAGCACTGTGGTGTGCATTTATGTGTAAGTGCTTCTGTGTGTGTGTTTGCACTTGTTGATACAGAACAGATCGCCATAAAAAAATTACCCTGGCAGCACATCTGTTTGTGATCATTACCATTTACTGTCCAGCAGATGGCTACACTGACGATTTACTTTCAGATCACCAGCTTTATACCTTTAACAGGTAATTAGTTACCTTTCACTATGTATATCCTATCCATCCAAATTTTCCAATTTAAATGAACTAAAAAAAAAGGCTGATCACACAAAGTTCTTATAAAGAGAAATTGTTACTCTGTATTTACACATACTAACTGCTAGATGGAACTTTTGCACAGCTAAGAAAGCTAATGCAAGTTTGCTAACAGGTGATATACGTAGCTGAACTAACACTCAATCAAAATGCTGTTTAATAATTATGTAAAATACCAAAAATGACCAAACACTAGGCTAATAACTAAGATTGAATTATTATGGATTACTAAATTGGCATAATCACATATTTCCAACACATTCTAAACTTTGAAATGCATCTTAATGCATGTATAAATGAAATCATGTACAGTAATACTGAAGTTTACAAAGGCTTGGCAAGTTTAACATACTGCTTGGCTGATAAAACTGTGGTCTGAGGCCTTTTTCACATATAAATTAATCTAAATCTTACTTATCAAGTGCTGTCTGCAAATATAATTTCATCAGCCATTCGTCCATAGCTGCAGTCCATATCCTATGCGTCTTTCCTTTCTGGACACAGAGATGAGAGGAGAGGATTTCCTTTGCCTGCTGATCTTTATCATTTGCTGTAGTCTGCTCGACATAAACCTCCATGAGATAACACAGCAGGAAATTCCCAGAGATGTATAATGAAACAGAGTGGAGTCACCACATGTTACTATGTAAGCTCTTTGTGTATAGCAACAGCGACCAGCTCCAGGAAAGGTTTTATCACTTCTTAGTCAAAACATCTTCTGTTCAATCTCCTCTGATTTAAAATACTGTATCTAATGACACAGATAAAAGTGTGAGGTGACTGTCAAGGCCAACATGTAGCACTGGAAACAAGTGTCTCTTCTCCACTGAAGTTTTAACTAACATCTCAGAGAGATGACAGCTCGATCTGAATGTGTGCAACAGGATATATCAATATACAGGTAACTCTGAGGGTCCTATTAGTATGTCATCAATTTCTGCATCCTCACAGCAGCCGGCATCACAACCATGGTAAGGCTGACATGATACCTTCAGGTTGATTTTGTTCCATAACTGTTGGGAGTTCGTGGGCTGCCTAGGATGACCCCTTATTGTTAGGTGCTCTCTTTGTGGTCATGCTCCTCACTGTACCAATCAGCAGAAAAGAAAGGCCTTCATTAACAGTCGGTCATGCCCCAGTGCTCCTGGCAACAACAGGTCCAGACGACGCAGACCTGCTTGGTCTATACCGGCTTGGCTCTCAGTTAGCGGGGGCGGCACTAGCCCCTTGTAAGCTGCCCCATTCAGGGCCGGGCCAGCTCTTTATTAAAACTTTGAAGACTGCTGAACAAAGGGGCGCCCTGTGTTTAGATGATAAAACGTAAACAATTGGTTTTCTGCTTGGGCAACACAAGACAAAGAGCCACCTTCTGAATACAGAGAGTGGGCATGACAAAGTGAGTGAGAGAACTAGAGAGGGAGGGAGAAAGAATGAGGGATATGCCACAAGTTGTGATACTCCATTAGATTTCAGGATGGGGATCACTTTGATGGATTGGAAATCATGGTGAACCTGTGACTGTGTGTGGGAGGAACAAAAGCTGTCAAGGAGAAATGCACTGCATGATTATTATCATAGGTGGATCTGATGCCCTAGTGAGTAGTAATAAAGCAAAGGCTGCTATGTTATTTAGAGAATAGAGGAATGACAGCAGATCACTGTCTCCTCACAATATGCCCTGTACTGTACTGTCTATTAAACTGTATACACTATATGATTCACTTCACTGAACCAGGATGAGCAGATCCTAAAGAGTCCAGTTGGTACTAGCGCCCATTTTTCAGTTGTCACATACATCAGCATTAGTGGGTACAGTAAGTGTTTACTGTGAGTTTTGATGCATGTTTTACATTAATTTTTCTCAGCTCAGTTTGAGTTCAATGTGTTTTTATTTCATTATTACTCAAAACAAATCCAGGGTTGGTTTGACTTTACTAAAGAGTTGTGTACAATTTGCCAGGAAGGATCTGGTCTTGCTCACCAAGGCAAGTGCTAAGGTAATGTAGACTTACACTTCTGCAGATGAAGAGTAAAAACTTAATTATGATTAAATAAAACTGTACTGAAACATTTTCAGGCACTATAATTTAATATACAATAAAACTGACCACTGTAACACTGTTACTTGCAAACCTCCGCTGTTGAAATGGTCTCAAGATTGTTATGTGTGATGCTTGCAGCAGCCAAATTTCATTGGAGCTGTAAAAAATGTGTGCATCTTGGGTGTTTAAATCTGAAAACATCTTAAAAAGTGTTGCCAGGTTTGTGCAAAGGCAGACTGCTGCTATACCATGAGATTTTGAAATTGGTGCTGGTATGATCAGTTGATGCAAAGATCATTCAGTCGGAACTACAGATACCTGGTCATGGCTGGCTTGGAGGGTGCTCCCGGTGCCGTGGAAAGTCATGTGCACAGGGGAGAGGGTCAGGTAGGTCACAAAATCCTTGCCACTCTGTGCATCATTATACTGCACCTGGAAAACAATGGTAAATGAACCAAATGACAGAGTAAATACAGCAAAAGATAAACCAAAGCATAAAGTTTACAATAGGACACAATCTTGTGTTTTTGAAAGTTGCTGGCTTGAGGGTAAATTCTGCTTGTCTAATTGCTACCACAGAACATTTGTGGACAATTACCTCACACCATATAGCGATGGCAATCGATGGGAATTAATGTAAGGGTGTGTATGTTTGAATGAGAGGGGGCATCCAAGGGGATGGTGATGACATCACTGGTGACCCCTGATCATTGAGAGGTTAACTCTGCAGGCATTCCTAAATGCTGTGCAATCAGGGCTGTTATGACAGGATTCTCCTCTGGGACAGCCTGCCTCTGTGATCCAAGTGGTTTCAGTAATACTGCCTGCTTGTCTGCCCTACTTCTCACTGGCTCTCTCTCCTTGCACTTGTGTTTATTTGCATGCATATATGTCTGTGTGTTTGCCTGGCCTACTTAAGCTTAGGACAGATGCAGGCATCTTAATAAATGGCACAAACAACTCTAAAAACCTAAAGAAGAGAACTATCTAACTCATTTAGAGACAGAATGGAGAGAAGTAATGAGAAAGAACATTAGTGATTCAAATCTCCATTACACTTCACTGAACAAATGAAAAAGTAAGATAGGAGGTATGGAGGAATAGCTTTTAACAGGACAGAGCTTCTGGAAGTACATGCCTTAGAAAAGCTAGGCATTAAAAAGGGCTATTTCAAGGCTTTCTGAGCCATGATTACAGTAAGTACAATTTCTAACAATCAGAATCAGTTATATGAACTATTACCATTTTTTAACCACACTTCTTTCAAGTACAGTATTTCCCTTTGTGCATATGGACCTTCCTCACACAATGTGCTATCTTATCTCAGCTACAATTTGTTGGCCAAACATGCTGAGCTTGTGTGCATGCACTGATATACATGATCTGTGACTGAAAGTTTCCAGAGTGAGGTGTGTGTGTGTGTCTCTGCGAATGAGTTATGATCATATATGGAGAAGTGCATGCGCTCCAGTCAGCCAGACATAATGGAAGATATCCCATAAAGATCCTGTCAAATCATAACGTACACAAACAAAGGCTGATATGAACCTGTTCACACACAAAGATATGTTACATGTTACATACAATATACTGCCATGCATGTGCACACACGCACCTGCTGATGCGGAGAGGGGCCCATAATGATAAACTGTGGAATGCTATCTGTTATACGTTTGAATAATGAATGTAATAAAGTGAGCGGTGGAAAAAGCCTTCCCTGACAAGTTTATCTCTAACAAATTCTCCAGACTTCAACACCTAAGAAAAGACAGAAAGAGAGAGGAGGTGGACATTTTAGGGTTATGAATACGACTTTTAACAAGAATACCTTTTCTGTAAAGTTTGAAATACACGAATGAACTGAAAATACAGCTTCTTCCATAATTTTGGGGGATTTAATCTGTGTGAGGAAAAAGAACATACTGTAGGTACTATGTGCATGTATGGTGTAATCATGCTTCATGATCCGCACGCACTCGGCTTGGTTCCTCTACTACGAGCTGTTGGGCCTCCAGCCGAGGGGCAGATTCTTCACTGATGGTGATGAAAAATAAATTTTCAGTTTGATACATGAAATATATAATTCCCAAAATGCTCCTTTGTCTCTGAGGGTGAAGAACTGTGAAGAGGTGACAGGTTAGAGAGGATGCTGGTCCCTGTCTGTAGGGATTAGAGATGCGGATGGATAGCGTTGCCTAGGCACGTGTGCACACGTGTGCATAATCTGCTGATAATTACCTTTAAATGAATATCTTTAAACCTTAGCATTTAGCTCAAAGCAGCACTCTGCCTAAGTACAGCCGCAAAGCGCTGCTAGCATGGCAGTAGTTTGTATACCACCAAATCACATCCATAGATGTGATTTGATGATTTGTATAGCACCATTTTGGTGCTATACAAGCCAAGCCAGAATAGACCATGATTTGGTAACCTTACCTTAGAGATCTTGAGTTGGGTCTGGAAACATTGCTGTTGTTATTGTGATGCCCACTGACACACTATGTGATACTAGATTACATAAATAAACTTGATTTATTCCAGTCACCAGCCAAATTATGGTTAAAATAATACATTTGGCAGGTCACCAAGCATCACCTGGAAGCCCTTCTTTCTTAGTGGCTTGCTGCTAAAATATTCAAAATGCCTGATTACGTGGATTTATCAGCATCTCTGCAGGCAGGAAAGAAAACTGCCAGATGTAGAATCAAAGAACATTATGGCATCATCTCATTTGCAATGAGTTGTGTGAAAACTAGAGTAAGCAACATCTTAAAAACAAATCATCTATTCTCCCATTGAGCCCATCTTTGACTGCATGTTTGTATGCATCTGTGAGCGCCTGCATTCTAAACAGGCCTAACTAATCCTGGGTCTAAACTCAGAAAACAGCTTTCAGTCCACTTCCTTTAGAGACAAAGAAGCAGGAGAGTTATGCAAGGCCTGCGATTGATCAGCAGCACTAATGTGGAACGACCTCTGACATCTGGCTTCTAAGGCTGTATGGCTCCTCTTCAAATGATCCTCTTTATTTGAACTAATACGAACATGCACAAACTAAAAAGCACTCACAGTCATATGTGCTCATGCAGCCATGCTTGAATTTAATCTTAAGCGAAGAAAATGTGCATGAACTCATCCACAGAGAGCAACACAGACATGAAAGACAAATGCAAGCAAAGTATACATATACAGTACTGCCCTCTTAATAAGTCTGACATCATCAGTTGTGTTGTGCCGAGATAGTGTAGGTGTACAGCAAATAGCCCTATTTGACTATCGTGAAGAGAAACACTGTCTCATTACTTTCACACATGAAAATCAGTCAATTCATAAAATTTCAAGAACTGCGACAGCTTCTTATAGAGCATGAGGCCATGAAATGCTATGATGACAGGGGCTCTCATGAGGACCACCCCAGGAATGGAAGTTCATTAAGAAATCACCAATTAATACCACCTCAGATTACAGCACACATCAAGACTTCAAGTAGTAGACACACCCCAACATCAACTGTTCTGAGAAGACTGCGTGACTCGGGCCTTCATCATCAAATCCAGAAAATATGACAGAGATACCAATAAGAAGAGGAGAAAGACTTTGGCCTCGAAACACAAAGAATGAATATTAGACCAGCGGAAAATCTATACCTTGATCTGATGAGTTTAAATTTGAGCTTTTTGGTTCTAACCAGTCTTTGTGTGACGCAGAGTAAGGAAAAGGATGGACTCTGCATGTGTGGTTCTCACTGTGAAGCATGGAGGAGGTGTGATGAAGCGGGTGAGACTTGCTGTTGACACTGTTGGCCATGTATTAAGAATTTAAGCCACTCAGTGCTATGATTCTGATAACATTCTACAGCAACATGCCATCTGGTTTGCTCTTTGTGGGATCA